CTATCCGCTACCCGCTATCCGCTATTCGCTACCCACTACCCGCTATCCGCTACCCACTATCTGCTATCCGCTACCCACTACCCGCTATCCGCTACCCACTACCCGCTATCCGCTACCCGTTATCCGCTATCCACTGAATTTTAACCGTTGTACCAAACAGACCCTTATTGCTAATGGAAAAGTCGGTGGATTCTAATGATTAATCGTTACGAATTCTTTTTTTTGTAGATAAAGACATGATTTTTAAATGATATTTAAAAAGTTCTTTCACACTTGATAAGAAGTAATAAAAGATTTAGATTTTATTCGGCAACACTTCTTGGTATTTTAATTTTTACTTTTTATGTCTTTTTATTATTTTAAAAATATATATAATATTAATCAAAATAAATGTTAAATATATTAAATATATTTTATATATTTTTAAGATATTAAAAGATTAAAAAATCAATAACTGCAGTTACAGACCAACACTCTCAAACTAAAACTTAATATCTCTCTTCATTACACTTTTTTCCTTTCTCTATTTCTTTGGCCCAATGCATCTATTTTTTCTTTTTTTGATATTCGCCGTCATGCGCTTTCACGCATTTCAAGACTAATCATTCTTAGAGTAATTTTAAGAGCACACCCCCATATCCGTTGTGCATTTAAGAAAATTAATTTCTTTAGGTATTAATCCTAAAGCTTGAATCCTGAATATGGCATATAAGACGACATTTATTAGTGAATCCAACCCTTCAAATTCCTATGCATCTATTCTTTTTTTTGGTATATTTGATGATGAGCTATACAAGAGGGGATAGTTCTCCCCAATTTCCAAATCCCTCCCCACTCTATTTAAAATTCGAACTTGAAATCTCTAATTTGAAATTTCAAGCTCTTAACTATTGAACCACCCTATTAGAGTTCCTATGCATCTACTCTACATTCTCTTTTCTTATGCTCTCATGCTTTCATACTATGTTGGTATAACTCTTCCCTTTTTTTCCTTTTATTTCATCTCGCTTCTTCACCATTTCTCTTCCTCTATCCTTCTCTTATGACTTCTCTTTACATCTACTCCCTCTCATTTTCTCATATTATATCGATATTTCTCCTTGCATATAATTTTTACTTGCATGATAAATTATGTCATTTTAATAAATCACTATAAAAAAGCTAGAACTTAAAAATAAGTTATTATAGCATTTTTTTAATAGAGCTTATATATATTCAATCAATTTAAAAATTAATATATATAATTTACATGAATAAATTATTAAATCTAATTGTCAATTTTTTAAAATATTTATTGGGATAGTATTTTTACAATTAAATTTTTAATTTTTTATAAGAGTTGAAATTGATATACACTATTTGTTATATATAATGTATTAACTAGAAGAAATTTCAAAGTATTTTTTTGTAAATTACCAAAGTACATACCTTGAACTATTACTCGAGTATAGACGAGGAAGTTAACTAGAATGCTCAACTTGGGAAGTGCTTCGTCTTCTTCCTTTTTCTTAGCTTAATCAACTAGAGCTGGGATGGAAAAGGTTAAAAATAAGGTTAGCATATGACAGTATGTTTCTAACTTAAATAGAGGAAAATAATATATATTTATGGATGTGTGTCACGTAATTGCAAAATGGTAATCTACTAACTTTAGAAATTAAATGGTAGGTTTGGTTTAAGGGGAGGGGAGGGAAGCTGCTCAAAAAGTTGGCAAAAAATTTGAAAGTGATGGGAGGAGTAGAGGAAAATGGAATGATGTATTATAATTCCCTTCCCCTCTATATGGTTGGCGAAAATTTTGGAAGTGAGGAGAGGAGAGGGATCATTTCCTTCCCATCCATTTCCCTCATTAGGATTAACTCATATTGATTAAGTATTACACTGATTTTCAGTCATTCATTTTAAAATTTCAAGAACAATTAATGCAACACTTAAATTTTCAAAATGACCCTTTAAATTTTAAAATATATGACTAAAAATTAGTAATAAAAAATCCCTTTTTTTTAGCTGGTGTAAGAAGTTCTCAATCATACGCCAGTGTAAGTTAATTGTTATTCATAATAAATATTTAAATGATAAAATTGGCATTCTGACCCAAAATTTTGCCCTTCAACTACTTATCAAATATGAGATATTTTTAACAAAATTTTATCATAGAAGTTATAAATTTTTTTATACAACACTTTTTAAATTTTCATACAAATAAAATACTTTTCCAACAACTTTCGTACGATACTTTTCCTTTTATAATCCAAACAGACCCCTAATTGTAACATGTATAGGAGTACTTCAAAAAAAGAAAAAATTTTATAGTCTTACAACACATGAAACTCTTATGTCTCCTTTCAATATTTTCTTATCCTTTCTATATAACGATTCGAATGAGAAACCTCTATGATGGGGAACAAGAAAGAATCAGTTTTAGGATTATTTAACAATTTTATTAAGTGTTGTTTAAGAATCATTCTTGAAGTCTTTTATTATTAGTGAGTACTTTATATTTTTCCTTCTTCCAGGTCTTAGTTGAATTAGGAATTTCTGGTTTCAATCTAAAACATGAGATGAGAAATCTGTACCTGGTTCTAATATTTTGACACTTCAAGGGTTTTTGATACATGAGATAGAATTACAGAGAAACCCACAAAGCCTAGAAAATAACAGCAATTTTCTTGCCAGATGAAACTTGCCTACCATACCACCTGCAATAATAAAAAAAGAATTAACACTTAATTAGCAAGATGACAAAATACATAGTAATTAAAAATGAAATATTGTTTATAATTTTAAAGATAAATAATAATAGAAGAAAAAAATAGGATTTTTTTTTTTAGGGTGTGGGGATTTCAAACTAGAGTTTTTCTACTATTTTGGGGGAGGGGATTCAAACTAGAAAGGCCAATTTAAGTTTTAACTGGTTTAGTCGTTTTTCAAAACTTATTTAAAAGTTATTTTAAAAGTAAAGGTAAGTATTTTCCTCCAATAAAATTTTAAATTTGTGAGAGAAAAATTTGCACTTTTTAAGTTTTTTAAACACTCTCATAATTAATAGTTAATATCTAACAATTGATAACATTTAAATTTTTAATAATTGAAAATAATAAGTATCAATTATTAAAAATTCACTATCAGCTTGAAAAGAGCCAAGCTAAACATAATCTTAGTTTGATTTCAAGGCGGGAAGGGTAGTCCTAATTTTGCAAAACTAATAATTGTTCCTAAAAAACCACAAGATATTGAGGAAAAGTGGACACTGATAACCAACTTAGGCACAACAAATTAGAAGAAGCAGTAGATCTATGGATATTTCTTAAAAGGAAAACAATTTGAAATGATGAATCTAACAATTTGCTAAAGCAACAACTCAAAACAAGGAACCTTACAAGAAAACATCTGTAAAGGCTCAAGATTGATGAGATAGAGATGGTAGTGTACTTGTAGAAATTAAAGAAAAGTGGA